GACGTGTTGGAGGGGGGGTGGGGGTGCGTTGTGGTGCTGGTGCGGGCGTCGGGGAACGGGATCAGGAATGCTCTCCACGGCAGCTTGAGGTGCGTGTTGGCAATATATCTCATGTTTTTTAGTGCGGGGTATTCCCGTTGGAGGGTTTCTGTTCTTAACGGTTGTGGTGGTGTTACCGATGCTGTGGTTGTGTGGGAGGGGGGTAGCCGTCGGCGCTGCAGGTTACAAGGTCGGGTTTGTAGTGGTAGCTCAGTCGAAGCCTTTTCTTCGAACACGACTATGCGTGGATTGTGGTGCCTGTGACCACCGTCAAGTGGATGGTGGCCGTACTGTTCCTACTCGACCTCCGCGATTTTCCCGGCGAGACTCCATGCCCCATGCGGACGAGAGCTCTCCTTTGTCCACTGTGAAATCGTCTGGGATATGCACGAAGATAGTCGTATCAACACAGACCCTTTTTCGGTCACCTAAGTTGTGTGCTGGCATGCGGTTTATTGCTGTGTTGGGTTTTGCGGTGCCCGCGCAGCAGCACGCATGACTTCGCGCTGTGCCTTGCCTGGCTGGTGCGTGTTTCTTTGCCGTGCTGTGCGGTGCCCGATGAAGCTTTTCGTTATGGCTAGAGAGAAATTCGTTCGGGGGTCATCGTGAGGATCGAACCTTGATGGCCTAGCAGTGCCACGTGCCGCGCTGACTTCCAGGGACGCTAGTCGGAGCTGATGCCACGATACGCTACTGGTGCGGCAAGTCGTGGCCGATGTGTGAGAGACGTCGACCGACCTTTTACGTACCAAGTGTTATTCTACACCCGTTCTTCCCCGTAATACCAGTCCGCCATCATCCTCCCTCCCCCTGGTCCATGATCATTTTCACTCGGTGGGACTACTATTATATGTACATTTGTAGAATAGCTTGTTTCAGAATGCCGCATGGATACACGAATCCGCCAATGCAATCTGAGTGTGTCTGTTGTGTGCCGTGGAGGGCTCGTGGTGCCTACTTCGATGGCGACCGACGACGACGTGTTGTTGTGCTTGTTGGTGTTTTTTTTTCTGATAAATTTCTCGCAGTCTCAAGACGGATGTCGTGCGCGATCGGTTGCTGTCCTTCCTGGGACTCAACGCTCTCGTCAAGGATATCAGAAAACAGCGCGACGAGGTTGGTGAGTGAAAGAACTCTTGCGTTTTGCCGGGGGGTTCGCGGGTGGGCGTCTTTTCGGCCGGAGGAGGGGGTTAGCGCGGCGTTTTTCCCTTTTCTTTCAAGCAGGTTTACGCTCGTTGAGTTTCTGTTGTACGGGGAGATGAGAAGGTGTAGGGCATTTGCCAGGTACAATCCGTGGTGTACTTTTACTCTCATGGGGGAAGTCGACTCCTCACGTCAATATCCTTGCCGCGACGAAGAGAGATAGAAAGAAATAGAGAGGGGGGGGAGAGGAGAGAGACAGGGAGAATGAGGGAGAGAGAGAGAGACAGAGACAGAGACAGAGACAGAGACAGAGACAGAGACAGAGAGAGAAGAGAAGAGAAGAGCGCACGAATGTCGCACCTGCCTCTCAACGTTGTTCGTTTTATTCCGCGTCACCTCCTTGTATTAATCGCAGCCTCTTTGCCTCTCGCGTCACCAACCCCCCGTTTTCTCTTCTCGCTTTGCTCGCTCAGAAAAAGCAGGCGGGAACGCGGACGTGGCCGATGACTTCTCGGATTACACGATGTCGGTGCTCACCCACGTCTCGGCCATGTACAAGGCCGTCCTGAAGCTGCCACGGTCAGCGCTGCAAGGGCCACAGCAGTCCACCACGAGCCGGCTGCTAGTCGAGGTATAAGAGCTACTTCGCCGACTTTGCTGCTCCCGTGTTTGTGTAGCGGCGGTGGGCTTGGCGCGGGCTGCTGTGGCACCGCGCCACGCTTCTCCCCCTTCGAAGTCGAGGAGCCTAGTCAACCTTTTGTCTCTCGTCTCGTCCGATCTATAGCGATTGAAGAGAGTTGTGCTCGAGTCCCCCTCCCGTTGTGATTGGTAGATTGGTTTGGTCATATCCCGCCGACCCTCTCGCTCCCTCCCCGCCGCTCTCATGGCGCTACCGCGGGCACTTGTAGGTTGACACTACACTGCACATCAATGGTTGAACCGCAAAGGCATGCAAGAACCTCCCCCCCTCGCCCCACTAAGAACGTCCGAAA